CGTTATTCAAAAAATACTCAGGAGCATTTATGTTCATGCTACCAGCACATATGCGAAAGAAACAGATCTTATCGAAATTTTATTATTATGATATTAGTTGAATAGTGATCAAATGGCATAGAAAAATAGAGCGAAAGACGCTCTATCTGTTCAAAAAAAAAAGACATTTCTTTGAAGCTTTCTATAAGAAAATAAAGTACCTTCCTCACTACTTTTGGATTGCCCTAAGTAAAACTGTCGCACGCATTGTTTTGCTGTATATCGTAGTGTCGGCCAAAAATTGATATTTTATCAATATCACCATTGACAGATTACGATCTTCGTCCGCGTAAAGCCGCGATCGAAGTCAACAACGATTCGATTAACGCTTATGAAACATCAGCCGATAATTTATGCCAATGGATATTATCAAAATTGGAAATTGGTCAAATACTGTCCATGGAGGACATCAAAAATCAATATCTAGAAATAAAGAAGAGAAAAGATGAATCAACGACCGAATACATGATGCGAGCAGCCACGATAAAAGATATTCTTAGAAAAAAATTTGAAGAAAGACTTTTATTTCTCAACATAACTCAGTTTGATACATATGTCATCTTTAATGATATCAAATTTTATGCGTTGATTCTTCTACAGCAACAGAAAGACAACGTTTCAGCATCCGTCTCGTATAAACAACAACAGTCTTCGGTTAATCATTCCGAAAGTGAAACGTTATTTTCGTCGATTCGACTTCTACGTGATATCTTTCGAGACGCATTTCGAAAATTTGACACATTTAATGAGAAACCGAAACAATTACAATATTTCAGCCCTGATGCATACTGGTCGAGTGTTCCACTACTTTTACGAAATACAAGTACATATGAGCATTTTAAGGCACTTGTTTTGCTGTAAAATTCTCTTATAGTTGGTTTTCTGACGTTAAATGAAAAACATTTTGACAAATTTTCGATGAATTATTCGATGCACGATTTATTTACGGTGGATTTCTTCCAGAAATCAAAGAAATGGCAAAAAATTAGTAGCATTGGATACGATATTCTTCATACTCGAAATCCCCAACATCTTTCTCCAAAGCATATTCTTGTAGGCGAGTTATTGGCCAAACATGACAATTCTCTTCAGTTGTTAGAAGCCATGAATAAGCTCGGTCACTCTTGCTCATATGATTCACTTACTCGTCTTCACACATATATCGCAAAAGAAGAATCTACACTTTATGACATGCCGTCCCATGCTCTCGAAAATTGTTTTGCTGTAAAAGCGGTGGACAATTTCGATTATTGTCCAGAAACAATTCATGGCAAGAACAGTATTCACATTGTTACACAAATCATCGTACAAAATCCCACTAATCTTCTCACTCTGTCAACATCCACACCTAGTCATATTCGTCCATTGAACATAACCGCCTCATTAACGCGCCGCCCACGTCAAAGAAATATTAATGATGATGCACTACCCAGTTTAGCCACTTCGTCTATCGATACAAATAACAAAAAATCAACGACAACAACGAATTTGTTTCATCCATATAAACAATTCGAGGATAAGACGTTTGATATTATCTATTTTGTTATTTGATGACGAAATATGCGTCTTTTAGACAAAACGTTTTTGTGCCATTACTAACTGGGTTTTTTTCCCAATTTTTACACCATCACACGTGATTACTTATTCAGCACCCATCAATGAACTTCCAACATCCGAAGAAGCTGCCCTTGCAATCTTAAGAACATCCCAGATTCAACTACTTGACTCTCGTTTTCAGGTATATTGACGATCAGTCTCAATCTTTTAGTTAGTGCGAGAAAGAAAAGGTATTCAATCGTAAGGACGTTACAAACAATTTTTAAGGAGTAGATTAAAAGAGAAAGACTAATTGAGAGAAATCTAGAACACATAGTTTATCACCAAATACTTTTCCAAAAACTATTTCTTACTATTTGCCTCTTCTGTTTAGTCCGAAGCAATCATTTTCATGGATGAAGGGATGTTTCAGTCTGTTTCAAAGATGAAAGACAAACATAACTTCGACAAAATATATTTACTCGGTGGTGACTTTCATGCCATGAAAAATTACATGGTCATGGTTTGGAAAGTAATGGAGGGGTCCGGAATACGAGAATTGCTTGGTATGATCTTCCAAGGCGCGACACTAGGATCAATTATTGACGTAACAAATTTTAACAAATCCATACGAACGATCAAACTTCTTTACACGGCAATAGGCATCAGTTGCATGCAAGATTTTTTGTGGAATAACGATTTAGATCCATCTCTTCATTCCCTACTCGGTGCGCCACCAACCTTCTTCAACACCAATGAATGTAAACAACAATGGTTTTCAAAACTAAAATCTAAAATAGAAGAAATAGATCTGGAAACAAGTTTCAATAATTATTGCATAGAAAGATCAACACAAAATCAAAGTTTCAAATTTTGTAAGTAAGATGCTCGTAACGGAGACTTGCAGTAAAAAATAGATTTCGTTTATTTATACACCGTTCGATAGAGAATTCAACGGAGATAACGAATATGTCGTCCCCAGATTTCCTGGAGACTTTTTTCCGGTCGAAAAATCGAGAAAACTCACGATGACTCGAAAACCGGAAAAGTTTCTTTCCGGTTCTTTAGTTTCTCCAAGAAATGTCGTGGAGCTTTGCGATTGATGTAGTTAGATTCAGCATTAAAAACTGCATCTAGCCATGTGCTTTCCAAATCCCCAAATCCAAAACTGGATTTTTGGCAGAGCTCGAAATCGAGGACTGTCTGAGCGTATATGCCAACTTTGCAGACAGTTCGCCTCCTACAGTTTGAGAGGTAGACCCTCGATTCACGCATGGTTAAATGCGCCGTTAAATACAACAAAGAGCTTCTTTTAAAGTTCCTTTTTCCTCGCTGAGAAAAGTCGACTTTACTGGGAGAAATTGAAATTCTGATCCTAATTCGCGATTTTCTC